GATCATTGCCTTGCCCATCTTCTACATATAACTGTATGGCTTGACACTGTCATGTTTCCTAGCTCTTCTCCTTTCCCTCTCTTGATTAGTTAGTCCTCAAGATTCTGCTTCCCTTTTACTTGTATTATACCTATTTGTATTTCTTCTTTTGAGTTCTTATACGAGGGAAACTATACGATACTTACACATGTGTGTCTGGTTTATTTCACTTATGAGTATATCTTCAAGTGGCATCCACTTCAATATAAAGGTTTCAAGTTTATCATTCTTAATAGCTGAATAATACCCAATTTTGTGTTTCTTAATTACACTTTGCTCTTAAAAAAAAACTCACTAGTTAATTTAAATCAACTGAGTCACCTGTGATTTTATAAACTGTCTCAATAAGAAAGTCCCTGGAAAAGTTTTAGCTATGAAGGAGTTCTGATTCCTCACACAGAAAGTAATTTTTAATTAAAATTAAATGAGGATGGTGGCCGGGTGTGGTGTGCATGCCTGTAATCCCAGCACTTGGGAGGCTGAAGCAGGAGGATCATTGTGAGTTCGAGGCTAGTCTGGGCTACAAAGTTAGCTCAAGGCCAGCCTGGGCTGCATAGTGAGGCCCTGCATCAAAAAGATTGAAAAAAAAAAAAAGGATGGTGACCAGAGAAATTCAAAAGATTTCATGACATTAAACAGACTCTTCAGGAAATACCACCATTCTATTCAGGCAGGTTGTAAGATGACAAGATGAAGATGACAACCAATCAGGTGAGTGGTCAGGTGGCATGCGCAGAGTGCACGTGGCAGAGCCTTCTGGCAGGAAAAAGCCCGAAACCTCAGGGCCCAGGCTCGGAAGGCCTTATGAGGACACAGGCCCAACAGGGCAAGAAGTCATTCATGGCAATGTTTTATTTTTTTTTTTTTTTTGGTCTGTTTTTTGTTTTCTTTTGAGACAGGGTCTCCCTGTGCAGCTCAGGCTGGCCTTATGGCCTTAAACTCAGTATGTAGCCCAGGCTGGCCATGATCTCTCAGTGATCCTCCTGCCTCAGCCTCCTGAGTGCAGGGACTGTAAGCATGCACCCCCACTCCCGATCTATTAGTGTCAGTCTTGAAGAGCACTCTGCAAACTCTGGTGTGCAGCCTGTGGGGATGAGAACAGGCTGGTGGGACAGGGGAGACTCACATGTGGAGCAGAGAAAGTGCACGATTAAGGGACAGCCCTGTTCCTCTAGGTGCTGTCGGTAATGGCTATGAAGAGTCAGTGCTGATGGCATTTAGGAGCATATACCTTGGCTTCCTAGTGCTGTTCTCCCCGATACAATACTCTCATCATTTTTTCATTCCTGTGATACCAGAGGTGAGTCTGTGTCTCACCCCCACGGGAACAAGGTGAATGTTCGCAAGCATTCAAGTATGTGTCCCTCATAAAAATGCCCAAAGCTAAAAAAGGGTAGAATCATTTCTTGTAGTGCCAGACTCCCCTTTCCTTCCGAAAACTTTGAGCCAAGCATAGTGGCACACACCAGGAATCTGTAATGCCAGCTACCTGCGAGGCAGAGGTGGGAGCATCACAAGTTTGAGGCCAGCCTGAGAAACTTAAGACCCTGTCTTAAATATATGCACATATTGTCTTGGTTACTTTTTCCTCATTGCTGGGACAAAATACTCAACAGCCAAAGTTAGGGAAGAAAAGGTTTAGTTAGCTTTAGTTAGCTCACAGTTACAGGAGGTTTCAGTCCATACTCGGCTGGTTCCAAGGCAGAGCAGCACATGGCAGAAGGCAGCAGTTCCTGGTGGTGGAAACCAGCCAAGAGCAAAGGGAGGAGCCGCGGCTGCAGCAGCTAGCTAGCCTCTCTCCCTTCCCCGAGTCTATTCAGGCTATCCGCCCCCCAGGTGGGGGTGGGGGCAGCACTCACACCCATAATCCTAGCGTTGGATCATGAATTAATCACAAACTCAAGAAGCCTGCCCCAGTGACTTCATGGGGCTTTAGGGGGACACCCAGACACAAACCATAATGCACACACACATTTTAATTTAATTTTTTATATAAAATGCATTATGTTCATAACTTTGATACAATTGATGACATAGCAGTAAAGATTGTCGTGCATGTCACATATACATGCATCAAAAAGTCACATGAAATTAAAAAACAAAATGAAGGATCAAAAACAGTGGTCTGGGGGCTGGGAGATGGCTCAGCAGAATAAGCGCTTCCCTGGCAAGTGCAAGGGCCCTGGTTCGGCAAAAAAAAAAAAAAAAAAAGGTCTGCCAAAAAGAAAACAAAACAGTGGTCTGAAACCTACTCACAGGATTTTAGGATTTAACAAATAACAAGAAGTGTGAAATTTCAGACCACAGCAGTGTTGAAAACAGAAGAATGATAAATACAAGAGCACGTATTTTCACATTAAAAACAGTAAAATCTACGTAACCAAAATCCAAACCTAAACATTAATACAAAAAAAAGAAAAAAATTCAAAATCAAGAAGCAGATTGGAGGCCAAATGAATTATCATTTAAATACCTATTTTATTTATTTTTTATTAAATACCTATTTTATTTTTTTTATTTTTTGCAGAACCGGGGATTGAACTCAGGCCCTTCCTCTTGCCAGGGAAGCGCTTATTCCACTGAGCCATCTCCCCAGCCCTAAATACCTATTTTAAAGAAATATCTAAAACATAACAAAAAGTGGTATTTACCAATAAGATTTCTTAGTTTTCTTATATATTTCTCTAGAATTAGAAGAGAGCTTATCATTTAACAATGGGAATGTGATTTAAATGACTTTTTCTTTAAAATAATTACAGAGGGCTGGCGAGATGGCGCAGTGATCTAAAGCACCTACTTGGAACAAGCTTGGCAAAGCACAGGGACCGCGGTTCGATCCCCCAGCACCACATGCCAGCCAGCCCCGCCCCCTGGTGGGCTGAGCTGGCCACACACACACACACACACACACACACACACACACACACACAAATGTAAAATAAATAAATAAATAAAATCTGATGTCTAAAAAAATAAATAAATAAAATAATTGCAGAACTTGAGAACATAAACACATGCTTATTTTATAGACGGATTCCAAAACTAAGATGCATAGTATGGAATATCTTTTTTTAGTACATGATTTCTCTAATTTCCCCACACGCAAATCAATGAGGACTTGGCCAGCATCTACACTGAATTCTAACCTTGCAGAAAATTTATTTCTAAGTCAATAAGCCATTGTTGTCATGAAATTCTTTAGTAGTACTTTGTCATGGAAGTATTTCACTTCTCCATTAAATTTGAAAGAGAGTTTTGCAGGGTGTATCAGTCTGGGTTGGAATTTGTTTTCTTGCAAGACTTGTACTACTTTGCTTCATGCTTTTTTTTTTTTTTTTTTTTTTCCAGAACCAGGGATTGAACTCAGGCTCTTGTGCTTGCCAGGGAAGCGCTTATTCCACTGAGCCATCTCCCCAGCCCCTTCCACGCTCTTATTGACTTGATGGTTTCTGAAGAGAAATCTGCTGTTATTCTGGTGGTTTTCCTTTAAATGTGATCTGTTTCTTTTCTCTAGCGGCTTTTTTTTTTTTTTTTTCAATTTTGTTTTTCTTTTTTTTGTGTGTGTGTATTTTAGGGAAGGGTTTACAGAGTGTTTAGGGTCTCACTAAGAAATGGGACTCGTAGTGATCTGCCTGTTTACAGCCTCCCAAGAGCTGGGATTACAGGCATGCGCCCCACGATGCCCAGTCTCAACTGCTGTCTCAGCAAGCCCCAGGGGCAGGGCCAGCACAGCAGGCCTGGGGATTGAACCCCTGGCCCCTGCGTCTGCTTGCAGGTGCTTTAATCCACTGAGCTATTTGGCCAGCCCTCCAATTTCTTCTATGTTGTTGTCTCCTGCATTTGTTCTGGGTGGGCTCAGAATGCTTGAAAATGCATTTTGCCCCTTCTCTTTGTCATGTTGTATAGCACTGTCTTCTGACCTTTGGTGTAGGGCTTCAGTGCAGTCATTACCATAGTACCAGGTCCAGATCTACCAAGTTCAAACTCGTCCAGGTGGATGTGACTTGGGTCAGGCTGCTGTGCTCCACTTCTTCCTGCTGCAGCCCTTGGAAGTGAACCTGCTGTGCCACTCTGGCAAGATGTTCTGGACCTGGAGTAGCTGGGTGGGTCTTGCCTTTAGCCTCTCTGCAGGGAGTTCTGCTGCAGGGTTCCACATCAGGCCTGTCTGATGGAAGAAGTTCCACACACACCCCTGGCCTGGGCGCTGGCTGGAATGAGGATCCAGCAAGCCCTGGGCGGTCCCACCCTGCCTCAAAAAACTTACAAAAAAAAAGGTGGGGTGCTGGGTATAGCTCGGCTGCACAAGTGCCTGCCTGGAAAGTGCAAGGTCCTGAGTTCAATTTAGTATCTGCCCTGTGGGTTGAGTCCAGTGGCACATGTACAAAGAAGCCGAGGCTGCCTTCCAGATTCCCCAGGTCTGGGGGTGGCGATGTGGTCCCAGAACAAGAGCTTGCTGTGTAATGCAGTAACGATCCACACCTGCTGTGCTGCTTCTTGTAGCAGAAGCCTGAGAACTTAAACTTCATTCAAGAAGTTCATGTTTGAAGGACTTCACAGTACAGCTAGCCCAAGAGCCTGCCCAACATTCATATCTTCTGCACAACAGTTATGCTGAGTGCTAGGAGCTCAGCCCTTCCTGAAGTGATCTATATTTTTATATATGCTCTTATCTCTCCTCTTAAATGTTTCCTTTTGTGTGGTTGAGTAGTCAGGACTTTCAGAAGAGTAAGACATAGTTATGTCTTTACTAAAAACTATTCCAGTTATTATTGCACCAGAAGAAAGTACCTTCCCCAATTCTGTGGATTAAGGGAAGTGGGGTGGTGGTACACACCTATAATCCCCACACCCTGGGAAGCTGAGGTAAGGGAATCTCAAGTCTGGGCCCAGCCTCCACAATTTGGTAATTTAAGAAGATCCTATTTCAAAATAAAAGCTTAAAGAGGGCAGGGGATGTAGCTCAGTGCAAAGGCCCTGCGTTCACTCCCTAGTACCTGGCTAACCAGTTGTCTCTTGGGCTCCTTCCCATGGCTGAGTCTATAGCCACCTGCAGGTTCCATTGTTATGTATCCAAAGCGACTTGTCCCATAGTTGGCAGGCAGCTTGATCTCAGTGGCAGAGGGCCTTCCTGAGGCCTCTCCAGAGCGGCAGCCTCAGGACTGCTGGGTGTCTTGGCTGGTGGACTTCTCCCAGAGGGGGCATTTTTTTTTTCTTTGTCTTTTTTTAAAAATGTACTTTAGTACAGGGTCTGCAGAGTCTCACTACACAGATTGGACTCATAATGATCCTTTTGTTTTCAGCCCCTCAAGTGCTGGGATTACAGGCGTGCCACCATGTCCAGTCTCATTCACTGTCTCAGCGCACCCCAAGATCAGGGCCAGAATGGCATGCTGGGGATCAAACCCCAGTCCCTGTGTCTACCTGAACAGGCACTTTAATCCACTGAGCTACCTGGTTCACAGGGGGCATTTTAAGGGAACTAGGCAGACGTTTCCCAGACTCCTGTGACCTAGCTTAGCAAATCAGAGTCAGAAGGGAAGGGACATAGAATACATCTTTTCCTGGGACAAGTAACAAAAAAACTTAACTTTTTTCAAACTGCCATAAGAACATAATTTTATTTAGATTATTTTGTTTGCCACAGCAGAGGCTGTGTGGTTTGAGTTCACTGTATCCTTTAGCAGTTGTGAAGCTTGCATTCAACATGTGTGCTGGCCAAAGCTGTCCCACCAACCTAGATCTCTGTGGCCCAACCCGAAACCTGTTTCTACTGCTCATCAGCGGCCTGCTGAGTGGGTACGAGCCATTGAATTGGCTTAGGACAGTCATGTTCACTTCTAGACAGACCTACCCCTGTTGCCACCCAGGACTGGAAAGCCGGTTCCAGTTAGAAAAGGAAGGAGGAAGCGTCTGCTGTCGGACAGGCAACCAACAGGTGCTGCCACTCTACGGGGAGCTTCCTTGCAAGTGCTGGAATTCCCCGTGAGGTATCTAAAATTAGAATTCTTTTTTTTTTTTTTTCCCCTTGGTACTTGGGATCAAACTAGCTCGCATTTGCCAGGCAGGCACTTAGGCCTTTGAACTATCTCGCCGGACCTAAAACTACAATTCTTGAGTTGAAGGGTCTGTATGTTGTAAAAGAAAATGACCCCCTATGTCCATGATGGTGTCTAAGTTACTTTTCTCATTGCTGAGACAAAATATGCAATGCTCCCCGTTAAAGGAGAAAAGGTTTCTTGTAGCTCCTAGTCTGTAGGGGTTTCAGTCTATAGTTGGCTGGTTCCATGGCAGGGGGGGCATCACAGAGGAGAAAAAGTTCATGGCAGGAGGGACACAGCAAAGCAGCAAAGCAGCAGCAGCAAGTGAAAGAGCAGCCCTCTTCCTGCCCCTTATGGTCTGTGCAGGCTACACCGCCTTAGGGCCAGCAGCACTCACCCCCATATCCACACCCAGGACTATGCCAAGCCAGTGGGCTAATTCATTAATCACATTTCCTTAATCCCAGCACCTCACTTCCTACTTCCAGCCACCTCCGAAAAGCCCCTTATGACCACACGAGGCCTCAGGGGGACATCTAGACACAAGCTATAACAGATGGCGAATCTTTCAGAGCTTTCAGTGAGACCAAAGCTCACTGTGGCATGCATGCCATGGGTTCACCAAAACTGCTCTATGTCAATGAAACATAAAAGTTTCAGGGATTTTTGGTTTTTTTGGAAAAGGGGGGTTGGGATTTGGTTTTAGGTTTTGGTTTTGGTTTTTGACCTTTTGAGATGGGATCTCACTACATTGTCCAGACTGGTCTTGGACTTGTAGCCGTCCTCCTACCCCAGCTTCCCAAGTGCTGAGATTACAGATGTGTGCTACCATGCCCAGCCTAAAGATATCATTTAGAATAGTCAAATGTAGCCAGATGTGGTAGCACACACCTATAATCCCAGGTATGTGGGAGACTGGCAAAGGAAGATCACAAGTTCAAGGCCAGCCTGGGCAATTTAGTCAGATCCTGTCTCAAAATAAAAATAGGCCTGAGGTAGTTCAGTGGTAGAGCATTTCTATAGTATGTGCAAGGACTGGGTTCAATCCCTAATACCAACAATAAATAAGGAAAAGTTTTTTAAAAAATGAACTTGTTGGGGCTGGGGAGATGGCCCAGTGGAATAAGTACTTCCCTGGCAAGCACAAAGGCCTGAGTTCAATCCCTGGTTCTGCCAAAAAAAAAAAAAAAAAAAAGAAAAAAAAAAAAAAAAAAAAAAAAAAAAAGAACTTGTTAATGTCAACTAAGTCACACTGAGAACTAAAAGACACCCAGGGCCTCTTACATGCTTTCCTTTCTGAAAACTTACAGGAAAATGTGTATCTGCCCTCCTTAGTCCTAACTCAGTTCTAATATATTTTTAAATATATAGGTGTATGCATTAGCTCAAACTGATTCATTTTGTTGTTGAAATATTTAAATATTTCTAATCTTGCAGTTTCTAATAAGGGTGTGGCTATGGATTTGTTAATTTTTCTTTTAATTATATAAGTGGTTTTTTTGTATTGTTTTTACTGTGTGTCTTAGTCATATTTCTGTCATTGCTGGGACAAAAACCTGACACCCAAAATGAAGGAAGAAAAGGTTTATGTAGCTCACCGTTACTGGAGGTTTCAGTCCATCCTCGGCTGGCTCCAAGGCAGAGCAGCACAGGGCGGTGGAAACTGCCAGGAGCCAGGGAAGGCGCAGCGGCCGCAGCAGCTAGCCAGCCTCTCTCCTTCCTTCTGTGGGATGGAGCTCTCCGCCCCAGCGTGGGCGGAGCACTCCACCCATGATCACCACATTGGATCATGAATTAATCACCAACACCAGAAGCCATCCCACGACTGCATGAGGCTTTGGGGGGACAACTAGACACAAACCATAACACCATATAAACGTATTATAAGAATATTTTCCTAAGAGCATCTAAGTGCATATTTGTTATTCTTTCCGAATCAATTGTTCCTTATTATATAGGTTTTGTTTTTAATCCCTCTAACACTTTTTTATCTTAATTCTATTTCGCATAGCACTATTGGTAATCCAATTTTCTTTAGCTAATATTTCTATTGTACCATATGTACTTGTATGTTTAAACTGTCAGCCCTTTTCTATGGCTGTGGTGAAATCTAAGCTTAAAGCCAAGCTTCGTGGTACACATCTATAGTCTGTGCACTTGGGAGGCTGAGTCAGGATTGCCATGAGTTCAAGATCAGTGTGGGCTACATAGAAAGACTCTGTCTCAAAAGGACAAAAAAAGAAGGAAAAGAAAAAGGAAAGGAGAAAAGAAAAAGAAAAATACATGCTTAAGAAGAAACCTGTAACTGTTTTTTTGTTTGTTTGTTTGTTTGTTTGTTTGTTTTTTCCCCTTTTGGTACCAGGAATTGAACTTAAGACCTTGCACTGGCCAGGCAGGCACTGTGTTGCTAAGCTATATTCCTGATCTTA